TCGGGGAAATCCTGGAGCTCTCCCCCCTCCCCCCTCCTCCAGCCCTCGGGTAACGCTGTTTTCCGGTGCTTTGCTCAGATCAGGTGGACGAAAACAGCGGGAAGTGCCTCGGACAGGTTCCAAGACTCGAGCGTGTTCAACGAGACCCTTCGGATCTCCAACATCCAGAGGCACCAGGGGGGCCGGTACTACTGCAAGGCCGAGAACGGCCTCGGCTCTCCCGCCATCAAATCCATCCGGGTGGACGTCTACTGTGAGTAAAACTTGGGAATTCGCAATTCCTTGGGTTCGGTGGTGTTTTGCTCAACTTCCGATGTGGCGACGATAGGGATTGTGGTGAAAAATATGAAATATTGGGACGGTGTTGAAAAATATGAGTTACTGGCTTGCAGTGAAAAATGTGGAGTATTGGGATTGCGGTGGAAAATGTGGAATATTGAGACTGTCGTGAAAAATATGGAGTATTGGATTGCAGTGAAAAATGTGAGTTATTGGGCTGCAGTGAAAAATATAAGGGATTGGGATTGAAGTGAAAAATATGGGATATTGGGATCACAGTGAAAAATAAGGAATATTGGGATCACAGTGAAGAATATGGAATACTGGGATTGTGATGAAAAATACGGAGTATTGGGATTGCAGTGAAAAATGTGGAGGATTGAGATCACAGTGGAAAATGTGGAATATTGGGATCACAGTGGAAAATATGACGTATTGGGTTGCAGTGAAAAATACGGAGTATTGGGCTTGCAGTGAAAAATGTGGAATATTGGAATTGTGATGGAAAATATGAGGGATTGGGATTGCAGCAAAAAAAAGGAGAGATTGGGATTGCATTGGAAAATATGAGGGATTGGGATTGCAGTGAAGAATATGGAGTACTGGGATTGTGACGAAAAATATGGAGTATTGGAATTGCAGCGGAAAATGTGGAATATTGGGATCACAGTGGAAAATGTGGAATATTGGGATCACAGTGGAAAATATGGAGTGTTGGGATTGAGGTGAAGAATATGGAGTGTTGGGATTGTGGTGAAAAATGTGGAGTGTTGGGATTACAGTGGAAAATACGGAATATTGGGATGACAATGAAAAATATGGAGTATTGGGATCACAGTGGAAAATATAGAATATTGGGATCGTAGTGAAAAATATGGAATATTGGGATCACAGTGGAAACTTGGGCTAATCAATGGTTTTTAGAGTCAGTTTAGGCTTTACACCTCCTCACATCTCCATCCCTTCAACATCCCACGTTTGCTGAGCTGATCCCTTGAATTCTCTTCCATATTTCTGTTATTTTGATGAGTCCTGGGGCTTTTCTCTCTACCCTTTGTCAGCTCTTCAACACCTCCTTGGGGCCCCAGCCCAAGATTTTAGACCCAGACTTTTGGATTTTAGATTTTAATGCAGGGGCAGATTAAATTGAATTCGGGGTGGAGACAATGGGAAACCTCGGGAATTCTCACTTCCTTGTTGGATTTCTTGTTTTGCTCAACTTCTGGTGTCACAGTTCGAGCGGCTCTGGAGGAGTCCAGTTTTGGGCGGTTTTAGGGTGGATTCTTGGCAACTTTCGGGGATATCTGTGGTGGGAAGGCTCGGGAAGGTCAACGAGGCTGCTCCTGCTGGGAAGTGGCTTTAAATAAATCACAGGATTTTGGATAAGATGGAAGAAAATCGGGTGCAACTCGACCTGCTTGGAAATCAGAGGAGGATTTGTCGCAGGGGGAAGGTCTAATGTGGAGTGTTGGGATCACAGTGGAAAATGTGGAGGATTGGGATCACAGTGGAAAAATGTGGAATATTGAGATCACAGTGGAAAATGTGGAGTGTTGGGATTGCAGTGAAAAATATGGAGTGTTGGGATTGCAGTGAAAAGTATGAGGGATTGGGATTGCAGTGAAAAATGTGGAGTATTGGGATTGCAGTGAAAAATATGGAGTGTTGGTATTGCAGTAAAAATTAGGAGAGATTGGGATTGCAGTGGAAAATATGGAGTGTTGGGTTGCAGTGAAAAATTTGGAGTGTTGGGATTGTGTTGAAAAATATGAGTTATTTGGTTGCAGTGAAAAATGTGGAGTATTGGGATTGCGGTGGAAAATGTGGAATATTGAGATTGTGGTGAAAAATATGGAGTATTGGATTGCAGTGAAAAATGTGAGTTATTGGGCTGCAGTGAAAAATATAAGGGATTGGGATTGAGGTGAAAAATATGGAATATTGGGATCACAGTGAAAAATAAGGAATATTGGGATCACAGTGGAAAATGTGGAATATTGGGATCACAGTGAAAAATATGGAGTATTGGGATTTCAGTAGAAAATATGAGGAACTGGGATTGCAGTGAAAATATGGGGGATTGGAATTGCAGTAAAAAATATGGAGTGTTGGGATTGTGATGAAAAATATGGAGTGGTGGGATTGCAGGGAAAAATGTGGAGTATTGGAATTGGAGTGAAAAATGTGGAATATTGGGATTGAAGTGAAAAATATTGAGGATTGAGATTGCAGTAAAAATAGGAAGTATTGAGATTGTGGTGAAAAATAGGAAGTATTAGGATTGTAGTTAAAAATATGAAGATTCTGAACTGTGGTGAAAAATACGGAGTACTGGTATGTCAGTAAAAATAGGAAGTATTTGGATTGCAGGGAAAAATACAGAATATTGGGATTGTGGTGAAAAATATGGAGTATTGGAATTACAGTGAAAAATATGGAGTGTCGGGATTGCAGTGGAAAATATGAAATACTGGGATTGTGTTGAAAAATATGGAGTGTTGGGATCACAGTGAAAAATGTGGAGTATTGGGATTGAAGGGAAAATGTGGAGGATTGGGATTGCAGTAAAAATATGGAATATTGGGATTGTGTTGAAAAATATGAGTTATTGGGTTGCAGTGAACAATGTGAAGTATTTGGATTGCAGTGAAAAATATGGAGTGTTGGGATTGGAGTGAAAAATATGGAGTGTTGGAATTGCAGAGAAAATATGGAGTGTAGGGATTGTAGTGGAAAATATGGACTATTGAGTTGCAGTGAAAAATATGAAGTGTTGGGATTGGAATGAAAAATATGGAGTATTGGGATTGCAGGGAAAATATGGAGTATTGGGATCACAGTGAAAAATGTGGAGTGTTGGTATTGCAGTGGAAAATATGGAATATTGGGATTGTGATGAAAAATATGAGGTATTGGGATTGCATTGGAAAATATAAGGGATTGGGATTACAGTGAAGAATATGGAATTTTGGGATTGTGATGAAAAATATGGAGCATTGGGATTGCAGTGAAAAATGTGGAGCATTGGGATTACAGTGGAAAATATGAAATGTTGTGATTGTGATAAAAAATATGGAGTGTTGGGATCGCAGTGAAAAATATGGAATATTGGGATTGCAGTGCAGTTGGAAAGCAGGGCTGGCAGAAAAAGGGGAAGGCCTTGAAAACCTCCTGCAATAAATGCACGGAAAGGAATTAAAATTAAATCAATTTGCTGTGCCTTGGTTCTGGAACTGGAATTCCCCAGTTGGTTTTTGGGGGGTTCTCTTGCCTGATGGGGGTGTTTGGCTCCATGATTTGCCTGAAAAAGCTGTAAAATACCAGAAAAGAGGGAAATCTTTTAGGGATAGTAACGGAATGAGGTGGTAATTGCTAATTAATTGTAATTAATTACAATTAATGAATTGTCATGAATTTTAATGAGTCCGTGTGGGCCAAGCAGGGTTTGGAATGGAGGGATGGCTCCAAACTAAGACAGGGAATGGCTGAGTGGGATTTCAGGAAGGAATTCCCAGCTGGGAGGGCAGTGAGGGGCTGGGATGGAATTCCCAGAGAAGCTGTGGCTGCCCCTGGATCCCTGGAAGTGTCCAGGATTGGGATCCCTGGGCTGGTGGAAGGGGGTGGGACTGGATGATCCTTAAAATCCTTTCCAAGCCAAACCATCCTGTGATTGCATGATTCCATAAAAACCCTTCTCCCTCCCCTCAGCACCCCTGGATTAGACCCTCCCTAATTCCCGATTTTAGGCAGAGAAAATCAAAATATTAAAAAGTGATATTTCCGAGTAGCTTTAGGGAATTTTGTCCTTTTTTTAATGGGAATTTTGCCCTTTTTTTAATTGGAATTTTCTGCTTTAATTTCTATGAATTTCTATTTATTGAATATTTTCTCTGTCAATCCCATGTTGTGTGTCCATGGCAAGAACTCTGGGCAGGAATTTTGGGGGGGGTTTGGAGTCTCTTTTGATCAGAGACTCCAAAAAAAAAAAAAATCCAAAGTACTAAACCAACATTTTCAATCAAATTGGGTTTTGTTTGTTTTAATGAACATTTATTTAGTGAAATTCTATAGAAAAAACCTCTTTTTCCTCCAGGATTTGGTACCTGGGAGCTCACAGAAGAACTCACAAAAAGTCAAAATATTAAAAATTGATATTTCCAAGTAGCTTTGGGTAATTTTGTCCTTTTTTTAACTGGAATTTTCTGATTAATTTTGATTAATTTCTATTTATTGAATATTTTTTCTGTCAATCCCATGTCGTGTGTCCACGGCAAGAACTCTGGGCAGGAATTTTGGGAGGGGTTTGGAGCCTCTTTTGATCAGGGGCTCCAAAACAAAAAGAATTTGAAAACTAAACCAACATTTTCTCTCAAATTGGGTTTTGTTTGTTTTAGTGAACTTTTATTTAGCGAAATTCCGTAAAAAAAGGCAATTTTCTCCCCAAATTCGGTAACTGTCACAAACAAATCTGTGGGAAACAGATGATGTTCCCTTTTGAAAGCAAAACTATCGTTTAGAGCAAGATGGAAACACTTTAATTTTTCGGAGGAAACCCTCGACTGCGTTTTAAAATACGCATTTAAAAAATATATCTTTAAAAATATATATTTAAAAAAAATAAAAATTTGAAAGCATCTCAGCTTTTCAAGCTAAAGAATAAAAACCAAATCAAAGTTGTTTTCCATGTTAGGTTTGGATCAAGAGCCTAATGGAAAATTTCGGCCTCCAGGAAAATCCTGGAGCTCCAGGAATATCCTCCAGGAGCAGCATTCCCATCCAGCTCCATTTCATCCTGCTGTTGGTTTTAGTGACTCTTGGAGGGGCAGAGGGAATTCTGCTGGAATTTTGGGAATGTGAGGGAGGTGGTGCTGCACCAACTCGGTCAAAAGCTCTCCTGGGTCGTGCTAAACCAGGCTGTGAATTCCTCGGATCCTTGAGCAATTCCAGAGCTGAGAGAAACCTGGGAAAATCTGG